CGGATTACTTTCGAGCAAGAATTATCGATCAAGTACTATTAATGCGAATGCTATTCGAAGGCGTCTGACACCAGTATTGTTCAACGGCGTTACTATAGTTGTATCTGCGATTACAAAGTCTCTACTACAATGAATATTACGAAAGTGACAACGAGTATTCGTTGACATCACAAAAGTGGCAAACGAGTGTTCGTTTGAGTCACAAAAAGAATGATTGTAACAAATAATCTGGCCGGTGAACCAAGATTCATGTCAGCATGCCGTGAGTCACATTCCTGGAGGTTAGCATTAGTCATGCTAAAGGATGACGATTAAAAGAGAACACTTTCATTCTGAAGGCGTTAAAATTAACAAACCATTTCAGCCCTAGTTAACCCTTTTAGCCATGAGCACCGGTTGAACGGTGGTAGAGAAAAATGACGTCATGCCCAACAACCGGTTGAACGGTGGGTAAACACTTGTAACTATTTTTTATATCTATCGTTAAACATTACATAATTATTTGCGAATTTGACTCAGGAGCTCAGGCAGACGAATTAAAATTGTTCAAGGACTCAGGGGTCAAAGGATTAAACGCTGATTGAAGGTCATTTTTGAGATCAGCTGCCGGTTTTAACTTTTTGAATCCCTTAGACGTATTGTTAAGAAGACAGCATAGATACCGAGAACTGATGACATCGGCAAAGGTCGTTTATGATAACTTGGAACAAAGTAGGTCTAAGGATAGATCTTGGGTGACATCTGTATGAATACGAAAAAGATCTAGAAGAATGCCAGTTCAAGATAACTCTCATTTCACGATTTGATAAGAACAAATGAAGCAAGTCAAAAATTTGTTAAGAAATACAATAACCTTTCCAATTAGGAAGAAGACCAACCAAACAAATACGGTAATTCTTGATATATCAAACAGAATCATGTCATTTTTAGAAGATGTATTTATCCGGGCAGTGCTTAATGACCTTTCTCCTGCTGCATTTAGACAATTGAAAAGCTTCAGTCTCGAATTCACCAAAGAATTTTAAAATCGATTTAGCGAAAGTCACAGGAAGTGATAATGATTCTAAATGTCGTAAACAGCGAGATTTAATAAAAGATTTTTTACGCCAAGTGATAAAGGAATGTGTTCAAAAGAGGAAATTGAAATAAAGAGACATTTGCAATGAATATTTAATATGAAAACAATGTACAAAATTATCAGACTTCGGTCGATCAATGTAAGATCATTTAAATCTTTCGGAATATCGGAAGTTATTTTTAATACGTTAGCCCATATGGATGTTCAGTTTGCCTTAGAATTTCATTGTTTTTTTTTTTTTTGCTTTTAATTTATTATACGCTTTCATAACTGCTGACGTCGACTAAATGGATTTCAAGAAAAATGAAAACGTAGTGTGTGCAGCACATTCGTTGAGCGCGTATGTATTCGTTTTTAGATAAAATTCAGTGTGTGTTTTACCTTGAGCGTTCATGTATGTGTGTCTTAACTCATTATAAAAACAATGTAGAGTGTAATAATCAAAGAAACTTTTATCACCGTAGTTGTAGCAAAAGGGAAATGCTTCAATGAGTGCAGTCAAGCATGGTAAACAGCTGCAGCCGCGACCGTCAGCAGGTTGGTTGGTTGGGTTTTATGGCATATAAACCACTGTAGGTCATTTAATGCCAAATCTAGTTATATATATATATATATATATTACTATTAAACGTATAGCTGGCAACATTATTTTTTTTCAAAAATGTATATCTGGCAACATTATTTTTTTCCAAAAATGTATATCTGGCAACATTATTTTTTTAAAAACGTATAGCTGGCAACATTATTTTTTTCCAAAAATGTATATCTGGCAACATTATTTTTTTCCAAAAACGTATAGCTGGCAACATTATTTTTTTCCAAAAATGTATATCTGGCAACATTATTTTTTTCCAAAAACGTATAGCTGGCAACATTATTTTTTTCCAAAAACGTATAGCTGGCAACATTATTTTTTTCCAAAAACGTATAGCTGGCAACATTATTTTTTTAAAAACGTATAGCTGGCAACATTATTTTTTTCCAAAAACGTATAGCTGGCAACATTATTTTTTTCCAAAAATGTATATCTGGCAACATTATTTTTTTAAAAACGTATAGCTGGCAACATTATTTTTTCCAAAAAACGTATAGCTGGCAACATTATTTTTTTCCAAAAACGTATAGCTGGCAACATTATTTTTTTCCAAAAACGTATAGCTGGCAACATTATTTTTTTCCAAAAACGTATAGCTGGCAACATTATTTTTTTCCAAAAATGTATATCTGGCAACATTATTTTTTTCCAAAAATGTATATCTGGCAACATTATTTTTTTAAAAACGTATAGCTGGCAACATTATTTTTTCCAAAAAACGTATAGCTGGTAAAATTTCTTTTCAAAAACATTATCAGAGGCCTTGCTGTTGGACGTAGTTTATCGTCAAACCCAGGACGCGAATGTATTGTATCTTCATACGCAGGACGCGGATGTAGTTTATCATCATACCCAGGACGCGACCGTCAGCAGGCAGACGGGTAAGGGTTTTTTTTTTTTTTTTATCTTGAGCGTACATATTTGTTTGGTTTATTTTGTTTTACGGCATATCAATCTCAATAGATCATTGAATGCCGACAAGATTTTTAGGATAGGTTCGTATGAATATAATATGTATTCTTTGTAAGTGATTAGTTTGTAGATCAAGTTTCATTGACACATTTTTGTAAAGAGGTTTTTTCAAGAGTCAAATGTATCGTGGTAATATTTTTTTTTCAAAAATGTATTTTTAATATAAAAATATATTTTCATGGTTCCCCCCACCCCAGTTCGGGGCTTAACTGTTTTCACATTACTGGGATCTTCACAGGTCCTACCAGCCTAGATCAGGGTGGACTTGGAAACAACAAAAATTAAGAGGTGGTTCCACGCTCCTCAACACCTCCCGATCAGAGGCCTTGATGCCGAATATAGTTTATCGTCATACCCAGGAGGCTTTGGTTTGGTTTGTATTACGGCATAACAACCTCAATGGGTTATTTAATGCCGACAAGATTTTTATTACTGATAATATTTTTTCTTCCAATATTCATTGCAGTTAATTTTTTTTTTTTTTAATGTATTGCTGGTAATATTTTTTCTCCAAAAATCATTGCTTGTAATGATCTTTTGGAAAAATGTATTGCTGCTATTAAAACCTACTTTTACACTTTTATAGTGTTCTGACCACAATTTGGGGGTTAACTATTTGCCCATAGCTGGGACCCTAACAGGTGCTACCACCCCGGTTCAGGGTAGAACCGGGGAGACCAGCAATTAAGAGGCGGTTTCACGCTCCTCAAAACCTACTTATCAGAGGCCTTGCTGTTGGATATAATTTATCGTTATAACCAGGGCGGCCAAAGATTCGTACGTGTTTGTAAGCATGGAGACAGGACGTCTATGTGTGTCTGTGTGGGCTAACTTATTGTATGTATATAGTATTCTAATAATCGATGGAACTTTTATTGCAGCAGCTGTGGCGAAAGAGAAATGCATCAGTGAGAGCAGTCAAGCATGACCTACAGTTGTAGCAGCAATCATCAGCAGGCAGGTTAGGCTTAAGTCTCCAAGTTCTCCACAGAAAATTGTCCCAGTGGATTAAAGCGTTGGTTCGTGAGTTTAGTGAGTTCAATACATGTGGCGGGCACTGTGTATTTGAAAACATGGCGAGCAATATTTGAGCATAACTAAAAAATATTAACAATTAGACTAGATATCCCCCAGACATGGGAAGTGAAACTAGAACAGTCGAACCCCTATAGATGAAGTAAAAGTTTCAGTTTGGAAATCCCTGTGGGTTACACGGATCGGTATACACCAGATGAGAGTGGGACGGCACAATCGCTGAAACGTTGTGGTAACAACAAAGATGGGGACAATAGTCCGAATATAAATAGTATAAATAAGGATAACTTTCCATACTGGAATGATAACTTTTTTTTTTGCCGATTTTATGATGTTGGACAGCTTCGCTTGTCACTTTTGCTATGTTAAGCGTTGTCACTTCCAAAAATGCTCACCATATTCGATAATTCCTAGACGCCGGTACTGGTAGTAACGGCTTCCAATAATATCCGCACTAGTAATACTTGTTCAAGTAGTAATCGCCAAATAGTATAATGACCAGAAGAGGATCGTTATCCGTATAGGAGTAGAGAGAGTGAACATATCACAATAGTGGATATAAAAGAAGAGAGAACCTTGATCCGTCTAGTATAGAGGAGGAATAGGGATCAGTGAACATTACGCTACTTCATATTTATTCACTTCCTTTATGATCACGTGATCTAATTAATAATGGAATCACCCGTGTTATTCCCTTGCGATCTAGTTTCAAACCATAGTGTCGGCAACGACATTTACTCTTATACAACAATATGGCTTCATGTCATGAAAGATTTGTTTCATGTTGGTGGTTTGGTAGTTTTTAAACGGATTTGGGTGAAGTCGTTAGAATTGTGGGATATTATATGTTTTGTGATGTTACACGGCTTCGCTTGTCACTTTTGCGATGTCAAGCGAAACCTCGTTATCACTTCCAAAAATGGTCGTTATATTCGTGACTTCATAAACACCGGTACTAGTAGTAACGCCTTCCAATAATATCCGATCTAGTAATACTTGTTCAAGTAGTAATCGCCAAATAGTATAATGACCTGAAGAGAATCTTAATCCATATATTAGTTGATTAAAGGGAGTGAGTGAACATATAGCAATGGCGGATAGACAAAAAGCATTAACCGTGATCGTATAGTCACCACTCTACTTCCTATTTACTCACTTCTTTATGACCACGTGATCTAATTAATAAGTGTTACTCACTGCAATCTAGTTTCAAAACACAGTGTCGGCAAGCACACTTACTCTTATACAACAGCCGATGACACAAATATTCATTGTCCGAGTAAGAATGATTTAGAAAAAAACAATTCATCATCGTCTAACACGTGTACCGTCGATTGACTGCTTGGTTCGTTTCCTACGGTTAATCGAAGCTTCGGGATGCAGATGATTGTCAAAAAGACGAAGATTCACATCCAACTCGTTCCCCGGACAAGCAACACCGGGCATAATCATTTACACCGGCGATGAATTGCCCTACCTTGGCAGCATCATCTCGAAAAATGTTACTAGCGAGAGGGACCTTAACAACAGGATCAAAGCGGCTCATACTGCATACAGAACGCTCTAACATGGGGTCTCACCATAAATAACAAAATCACAGTCTTTTGGGCTGTGGTCTTCTCCACCCTTCTGTATGCTTGCGAAGCCTGGACTTTGTATCGACGGGACATCAATCGCCTAGAAGGGTTCCAGCAAACAAAGCTCTAATGAATACTTCGTATCAGTTGGGGAAAACCGCATCACCAACAACGAAGTCCTCTCTCGGAAAGCTCTTCCAAGCAACGAGACTACACTCCTTCAACATCACCTCCGCTGAGCAGGTTACATATCACTAATGACTCTCACGTATCATACTGAATGGAGAACTCCCCAGCGGCAAAGGGCTACGCGGAGGTCCAAAACGACGCTTCAAGGATCAACTGAAAACATCCCTAACACAGGCCAACATCGACCCTGGCATCTGAGAAACCGTTACTGCAATTCGGCCTTCCATCTGAGTGGTCGAACCGTCATCATAAAGAGGATCTGCGACACGCTGTCAGGAGAACCCGACTGGCTCAGCCACGTGTACCACCCACACTCCTTCTCACGACTCGTCAAGAATAGGCTGTGCCATCAGAGCTATATCCGCCAGTGTCAGACGGGAGAAAAGGAATAAAGAAAGTGGATGATGATCCCGATGATCGAATGCGAGCAGGTGCCGATGATGGTTTATCAACCCTTTGCAGGTTATTTAAAAGAAGAAAATAATTTTAGATTGTAAGAATTGTTTTTTGAGATAATGATTTAGTGATAAAAGTCTTACTAATTAACCCATAGTTGGGGAAGAAGAGGTGGATTCATAACTTTTCCAAGAGTATTTACATGTAACTGAATATAACGAACCCGACTGGAATTGAACTCGGCTTCCTGATTTCCAATGACGAGCCGTTATCCATTACATCCCCCGTACATCCAAGGTTACAGCGCCTGGTATTCTCAAGCGATCACCCATCTAGGTACTGACCAGACTCGCCATTGCTTAACTTCGGCGATCATACGGGAGCCGGTGTTTCAACTTGATAAGGCGATAGACTTTAAGACGCTGGAAGTAAGTATTACGAGGTTATGACGGACATATGACGATTGAATCATGGCTTGAAGTGGTTATGATTGTAGTATGCTGGGAAGCATCCACGTGGGAGTTAGTTCGACAAAGTAGCTCGTCTAGGGAAGAACCTTTCGGAATGTAACGTCCTTCTTACCAAAGGAATATGTAGAGAATGAGAATGATACAAATCTGGACGTAGATAGGCTGCTCTAGGTTGTAAAGGCTGTTCGATTGATTGATTCATCTGTTTTTACGACTTATCAATCAGCTGCATGCTATTTAAAGCCAGAAAATAATTTAGAGAATGTAAGACTGTTTTTTTTTTAGATAATAATGGTTTAGTGATACAAGAGATTATATAAAAGAAGGATCTGAGAAGCGAGTTTTCTTCCTTTTCCACTGACTTCCGGCAATATGGAAATCAACTGTAATTATTTGGTACTCCTTACGAAACATGTGGAGCAAATGGTAGAAAAATATCAGTTGGGGTTAATCGACTTAAAATGCAACGAATTTTTGTAGTAACAATTTCATTCAGAATCCACTGCTGACTTCTACAAGAAATATGTTTTTGACAAGTGGAAAATATAAAAACCTATTGAATAATGCGAAAATAATATCATTATTCAAAAGAATAATGATATCATTATTTTCTTGTGAACAACGTTTTTTCGAAAATGAAATATACCAAAAGTCGTTTAAGAACAAGATTGCGTCCGTGGTATGACGATAAACTACATCCGCCTCCTGGGTAAGACGATAAACTACATCCGCGTCCTGGGTAAGACGATAAACTACGTCCAACAGCAAGGCCTCTGATAAAAAAAAAAGTAATGTTGCCAGCTATACGTTTTTGAAAAATAATATTATCTGCTATACATTTTTGAGGAAAAAACATTAACAGAAATAGATTTTTGAAAAAAAAAAGTTGTCGGCATTAAATGACCCATTGAGGTTGATATGCCGTAAAACAAAACAAAACAAACGAAATCAAGAACAAGATTGGGTGATAATGACCTGGATAATGTTTGGCTCCTACACTGACATATTTCCCCAGAGAATATATCGAACAAGGAGCAGAAACAAGGGTCTCATTAAATAATTTGCCATTTCTAATTCTATTTCTTTTGTAGTAAGGAATTGGCATTTTTTGTGGTCTGTGTTAGTTGTTATCCTGTTATTTCCGCAGTAAAATAAAGAACCTTATTTAAATAATATAGCATTAACTTTGCTGTTTTTTTCTTTAAACTTCCAAACCAAGATAACCTACTGTAGGGAGCTGTCTGAAGACGAGACAATTAATTATAGTACATTTGATATCATGACCCTCTTTCGAGACACTGCATAGCTGTCTGGCCTGCTCTCTCTAAAAGGTTACTGAACCCTGGTTTAAGTTGTTGCGTATTAAGGAAAGGTTCTGTAGGTTTAGAAAATAATTAATCGCCTACAAAGCAGAAGCAACGATTTTGAACTCTATCAAGGCTGGAAGTAAAGTTGCCTTCTGTTAAAGAGTTAAGTAAAGTTCCCTTCTGCTAAAGAGATAAGATCGGAGTCTTGAGAGTTATGACCCCTATTTAAACGAGACAGTTAACAAAACGAACTTCAACTTGATGTACGGCCGTAGTTCGAATTTGATGCTGGCAAGCAGAGACTATATTTTGTAGGAGATTAGCAGGCCTGTTCTTGCTTTGCTGGATGGTAACGAAATTGATCGAAGCAGAAATATTATTTTCAGGTCAGTCACAATATTCCATTTATGAAGATACGTGTCTAAGCGTCACTTACAAGTGTACGGTCATTACAAATATTGACTGATTTTCTTTTTTTACGCAATTTTTTTTAAAAGCCAGAATATATTTTTCCATTGTAAGAAGTTTTCGGAGATAATGATTTACTGATAAAAATCCTACTAATTAACCCGTAGCTGGGAGGCGAATAGGTGGATTCATACCCTATCTAGGAGTATCTGTGCGTAAGTGAATATAAAGAATCCGACTGGAATTTGAACTTGGCTCTCCGATTTCAAATTCTGAGCTGTTATCCATTACACCACCAACTGTCCAATCGTACAGCACCTGATATTCTCAAGCGGTCACCCATTTTAGGTACTGACTAGACTCGGCGTTGCTTAACTTTGGTGATCGTTCGAGAACCGGTGTTAAGTCCATAAGCCACAAGACTTAATTTTATTCACTGCAGACTTCGTAAATTACTATCGGCTCATCCGTGCTGCGTCGAAGAGCATGAACGATCCAACTTTGCGAATATTAGAAATTCTAGCAGTCAATCCTGATACTATTAGATGCTATTCAATTTTATCGCCCACAATCCTGATAAAATTAGATATACAGATAAAAATGTGTTGATAGTAGACACAGAAAGATTCAAATATATCTACGACGTGTTCACATAGACGACGGAAAATGAGACACTGATATCCGAAGGTGGATTGGGACAGCGAAAGGTGCCTTCCGAAAACTAAGCAAATGATTAAGAAAGAGGAATGTTTCTGATCTTCATAAAGAAGAGTACTGAGCTGTTATGTAATAGAAGTGAATGCTTTGAAAATGCCATCACGGATGAAAATGAGACTTTAGGGAACAGAAATGTGGTTCTACAGAAGGATACTGAGAATAACATGCACTGAACACGTGAGCAACGACGAAGGTTTTTTTTTTAAAGAGAAAATGGAAACAAATCGGACACTTATATATTGCTTCAGAAACCTGTTAGGCATATAATGAGAAAAGAGGGCTTGGGAAATCTAACACACACGTCTTACTGAAGGCAACAGTAACAGAGGAAATTAGTTTATAACCTACCTAACAAGAGTGTATAAATGATTGGCAGACCAAGGATTAAAGATATAGAAAAAAAAAGAAAGAAAAAAATTTATTAACGGCTATAAAGGATAAGATGTTATCGAGCGCCATGCTGTCTCAAGATGTGCTTATATATGTCAACCCGTTCTTTTCTCAAACTTGCATTCCTGACGAAACTTGACAGATAACGCTGAGCTGCACTTGACGGCTAGAACGTTATCTCAGGTTACTCCTGCATCTGGCTACATTGATAATCAGGTCTGACAATGTCGATTTTGGTAGTATCTGATTTGAGCCCCGTACATACTAAACAAAAACTGTAGTTGTCTGTTTAGCTTCCAAATTAACAGTGTCAATTAAACAAAATTAATTAATCCATATAATAAATGCGGATCTCAGTGTATCACAACTTTTCAACTTTTCTCCTAGAAGTCCGAACCCAACATAAGATGCCATTTTGAACTCGGGCCAACTCCACGAGCAAATTAAAAACATTCCCGGTCGGATCCGGGCCCCAAATCCTGAAATTCGGATTTCCACGTTTTCATTATTGTAATTGCTTTCGCCGATGTTTTTATGTGATTTTTTTGAGAGAAATTTTTTTGTACGATATCAGTTTTTGTAACTGGGAATAATCGGAATTAATTGCAAAATCCAGCTAAAGTCAGCCATGAAATAAAATAATTTTTTGTCCGGAAAATAAGGATCTACGTACATCAAACTGTCTTTAAATTAAATGGCGGCAGAAGTATTATCGTTGAAATTTTAAAAGGTAAGCTTAAATATTAATGCAATACAACGATCAATTTTGTGTTCTTCTATAGTTTATTGTTGCCTATCGCATCTACTCCAACCTGGGATCGAGATTAAATGACGCCCGAAAGGGTGGCTTTTATGTTAGTTTGTAATATTTTATCAGTATCTTGAGATAATTATTATTAACTCTAAAGAGCCTCTTACGTACTGCCAGCTTCCTTACTTCAAACTGAGATAGAAAGCATTGTATAAGGAAATGTTTGAGAAGTGTGAAATACTATGCTGTAAAAGGCTTTGCACTCGATTTCACAGCAGATTGGTAAGGAAGCTAGTCGGCATCACAGACTAAATGAAGAATGGAATTTTTTTTTCAGAATTCTTTGACTCGCTTTTTGTCAGGGTGTGTTGCATGTAATAGACATGATTTCTCAGACGAAGTGAGAATCAGATAACGGGGCTCAACAGGGGTGGGGGTTTGTTTTTATCTGCGTAGTTACAGCACGTCATAGAACCAGGGAGTGGAAAGGCGCCTATATTGTTCTATTGCTGCAACATTACGTTCTTTGAAGTTTTCGGTCTCAGATACCCCCCCACCAAAAAAAAAAAAAAAGAAAACAAACAATCCGTAGCTGACTGAATTCCCAGGGTTCAAAACACCCAAATTCATTTCGGGTCGTCAGAGTTCTAACCACTACGTTAGGATTTGCCATTCTGTGTCAGCATTCTGTAATAGTATCGCCTCTGGGAATTATGAGACATATGATACGATGTTAATTACAAACACATGATACAAAATTCAATAGAAACACGCGATGCAACTTTATGTAGAAACACAATAAGATACAACGTCACAGAGAAACGTACGATACAACGTCACAGAGAAACGCACGATACAACGTCACAGAGAAACGCACGATACAACGTCACACAGAGAAACGCACGATACAAAGTCACACAGAGAAACGCACGATACAAAAAGTCACAGAGAAACACACGATACAAAATCACAGATACAAACTTACATAGAAACACACGATACAAAGTCACATAGAAACACACGATACAAAGTTAAATTGAGACACATGATACAATAAAACAATTATACCTTAACCTAAGTGCTAATCCCATCCACCGAATGAAGAAACACATGACCTTGTACGTTCATCTGTTGTTGCAAACGTGAGAAATATTTGTAATACACATCGTTATAGCAACAACCGCTCCAGAGAGGAAATGAGCAGTCTCTATGTCGTAGACGAGTATCTAAGTTTTACGTTTGGACAAGCGCTCTGGACGCCGCATCACCAATTTGGCCGAGAGCAAATGTAGAAATCATTGAAGCAAACAAATTTAATTATGAAAGTTTCAAGTCTCGAGGTATTAATTACACTGCATATTTATCATTTTTTTCTGTGACAATCCCTTATGAAAGTTTTATACCAACCATGAATCGCTAAAGAATAGTTTGAACTCAAAAGATTCATGTTTATAAACCAGTCTGCCAAATTTCCAGACTGTAATCACATCGTGAAATTACGGTGCATCCTTTCAAATCATATCTAGAAGCAAGAAAGTCAATTTGAATTAAGGAACCGTTTAAACACTTGCATGAAACGATTTTGGGAGCTGACTTGTCTTGAAATCATAGCAAATCTTGTCTTGAAGGCAAGACAGGTGTCTTCAGGTTCTACAACAAAAGAAAAACCTTCCAATCATGATTGTACATTTTATGTCTAATTTAAAAAGACGCCTTATACAGATTTCTACTTTCGATTAGTGGAATATTCCAAGATTACAGTGAGAGTACCCAAGTAAAAAAAATAAAAAAATATAAATAAATAAATAAATAAAATCGTCTTTCACATTAAGCTTTCCTTATTTTAACCAACAATAAAAGTATCTGTTCGGTCAATGAAACAGAATATTAACAACGGTGATATGAAAAGATCGTCTATATTGATCCCAGATGGATATTTTTAATCGAGTTTACCGCAAGCAAGGCAGTAAAGCCGCTGAGAAACATTCATCGTGCTGCTTGCTACTGCTTTATGTGGGTTATATCGTTTCACGAAACATTGCGTCCCACACAATTTTTGCAGAAATTTCGAGGATCGAGTAATTAGGAACATCCGCGCTTCCCACGTCTTATTCTGACGACATTTCCTCCACATCTGCCCACGCAGTCGCCGTCTTAGTCGCACGTCACCTAAGACACTGTTCGTCGCGACAGAAATTTTTGTTCGGAAACCGATTCGTATTTGATGAGAGGCAATCGTGATCCGAAGTTACAATATATATATATATATATATTAAGAAATGGACAAGGTCCGACAATTTATTTATTAAAGACATTTTTATGTTTAACGTTGTTATTTATAGATACAAGTATTTAAGCAAATGCTCTGTTTATGATAAACAGTATTAAATAACATTTACCGGCCTGAATGTCCGAGAAATTTTCATAGAAAATATTCGTTCTTTGACAGGATTCCTATCCTATACGGAACCGTCATTTACGCTGACGTGCCTTAACCGTCTCGGCCACAAAGGTCGGTAGACAAGGTCGAATTTACTGCTTATAAACTTCAATCTTCCATGAATCTCGTACATTCATAACTGCTCTGGCGTATCAAATGTAAACAAATGACCTCATATATTAAGAAATGGACAAGGTCCGACAATTTATTTATTAAAGACATTTTTATGTTTAACGTTGTTATTTATTTCTCGGACATTCAGGCCGGTAAATGTTATTTAATACTGTTTATCATAAACAGAGCATTTGCTTAAATACTTTTATCTATAAATAACAACGTTAAACATAAAAATGTCTTTAATATATATATATATATATATATATATATATATATATATATATATATGATGAAATCAGAGTCCTTAGAAATTCATTGGTAATAATTTATTTCACAGGATTAAATCCCGCGAAATATAATATTACCAATGGATTTCTAAGGCGTCCGCTTTAATCTTTAACTGTCAATATATATATATATATATATATATATATATATATATATATATATATATATATATATTATAAATTAACTGATTTAAAATATGTTTTTTTTGCATCACACTAATAACCATGTTTCAAAAATGGAAGCTAAAAACTTTAAATTTAATTTTGTAATTAAATTAAAAACATTAGTTCCATTTCATCCTCAAGCACTATTTAGTAAAAAAAAATAAAAATATCAATAAGAACGCCGGATTACATATCTTACTGTTCTTTCTTATATATATATATATATATATATATATATATATCAGAATGTAATGAGAACGAAAATGATATAAATTATAACGTTCACAGCATTAATTCAAAAGAGGACTCGATACTAAGAGTAAAGCAATAATTCAAAAACAATTTACTCACTACAAAGACGCCTTCATGTTCTGATGCGGCTGCATCTCGACTGATGAGAACCAAAACTGGTTACGAACAATTCCATTTACGAGCAAGCCCTTAAGAGGAAACGGAAAAGGGTAAAGAAAAGGGAGACAAGTGAAGGAAAGGAAATAGGTGACAGAGTAAGGCAATAATATTTTTATGTCAGTTTTT